CACACACACACACACACGCACACTCCCACGAACTCTTCACTTCAAGTTGATTATTTTTCACCCTTTAGACAAGAGCAATAAATCACCACAGAAGGAAAATCGAGAGGAGTGGGAGAGCAGAGGAAACAGAGGGAGCACGAGAAAGAAGCAGAGATAGAAAAGAAATCAAAAAGAGGAGTGTGGAGGAGAAGTGAGGAGATGAAACGCTGCCTCGCATCACATTAACTGCTCTGCAGTGTGTGATTCCTGCATTTGATCAAACTTTATTGTTTTTTAATTAAACAGTGTTTAGTGTGGTGATGGATTGGGTTTATGTCTGGTGTTTGTGTGCGTGTTTCATCATGTTGCTAAGCGCGCATGTCTTCATTACATTGTGTTGGACTAAATATTCAGTAAACTACAGGTGGTGAGATCAGACAGACCCAACCGCACAGAAAAAGCAAAGGAATCATTACCATTTAAATAACTTTCTAACCCGTGTGTGCCTCGAAACACCAAACTCTGTGTGTGTGCCAGTCTGAACTATTTAGGTGATCTTGATGTGGACATGTAAACTGTATACTAAATTAATTTGTATAATATATATATATCTATATATTTAGATAAGTAATGATATCATGCTCACGCAGTTTTGCATGAGGTATGTTTCAAGAGGTAGGGGGGGTTGTCCATTAATTAGAGGGTTGGTAGTTTGATACCTGGCACTCTAACATTTATTATAGACGTTTTGATCAATACTTCTCTCATATCTGGGGAACAAACAGAAATGAAATCCACCTACCAGCTTTAAAGCTCGCTAGCTAACAATGTTTCCCATTAATTAACCAGACCGGGGCAGTCTGCCATATTGTAATTTGTCTCACCACCAGTTGTATTTTTATAAAAACATATAAGGTTTATAACTCAGTGTTTTGTGCCGTTGCTTTACTGTAGAAGAAGTGTGTGCACATTATATCCTGTTTGTTTAATCTGTGTGGAAGTGGGAAAACTTCACGTTGGGGATTTAATGGGGGGGGGGGCAGGAGGTTATGTGCTATTTCTTGGTTGGCTATTGTCACTGCAACCAACCTAAGCCACTGGGCATGGAGCAGGGATGTGGGGGGGGGGTTTGGAGCTGACCGCACTGTGATGCACACTGACCCAGATTCATCCAGGCTCAGTCATAGGGACACACTGAACCCCCCCCCCCCGAAGATTAGAGCTCAATACATATATCTGATACGAACCTTACATCGGTATGTGGATATGAAAACTTGCTTTTTACTGAATAAACACTGCAGAACAAATGTCATGTTAAAACATAAGGCTCATTTCTTAATTCAAGTTCTATGTATTTGGTTAAATCTGTGTTTTCTTGTTATTTATAATGATGTTTATGGTTTTGAGTTGTAAATCTTTTTGTGCCACAGTATCTGTATTTTTGTGGCTCGAGAAAAATTAATTCATGTTTAATGATTAATGTTTGTAAACGTATCTCATTCGTGTGATGCCGACAGGATGTCAGCTGGCTCAGGACACACATGGCCTCAACCTCCTCGGCGGGAGAAGAACTCCACTCGGCCAATAAGAGTATTTCCCATAACGTTGAATCTATTAATTTATAAACGAGACATGACAACAACAAAAATATCTGTCTGTTCAGCCTCGTTTTGAGAAACTACCCCTCGTATGTAGGAATCTGCGGAATAGTTTCCCTCAGAAGTGGCATTTTAAAAAATCCTTTCATAAACTGAACGGGAAACTAGGTGATGTCTGCACGAGGACATTTGCTTTAGTGTCAGTTAACGCATCAGAGCAGAGATCGCTCTGAGGATGATGAAAGATTTCTGATCATCTCTCGCACACTCGATTATTTTCCCGTCAGTCGACAGAAACTATTCAGATACACAGGATGATTTGATTCTCTAAACTCGTAAACCCCCGTTCAACTGCTTTGGTCTGATAATCAGCAGATTATTGCGATGACGTTAACGGCTTTAACACAAACGTGCTCCTGCGTGAGGGAGGAGAAGATTAATTTCCTCTTCCTGTCAAACAGGAAACTGTTCAATACACGAGTCGCCTGAACAAGTCTATGACTTCCTCGATAAACACACACACACACACTCATTGAAGCAAACATACACACACAAGTTGGCAGACATCAGTCAGGCCCTGTGGTTATGAGATTTTCTTCAGTTTCATCTTTCTCCAGCGCTCTTTCTTCTCCAGCCTTATTGTTTTTCATCATCTCTCCATCGCTCCCCTTTTCTGTTTCTCATTCAAGCTCATTGTTTCTCTTTCTGTCTCTTTCTCTCTCATATCAAACCCTCCCTCGCTCGCTCCCTCGCCCTGTCTCTCTCCCTCAGGCTAGCTGTGTTTATATTTCAGTCGTTTATTTCTACAAATGTCAGACAGTGTTTCTGCCCTCCGTCTATTGATCCACAGAGAGAGTGAGAAAGAGACTGGGAGGGAGAAAGAGGGGAAAGGCAGCGACAGGGAACGAAGTAGAAAGTAGAGACATGCAGAGGGAGGAATGGGAGATAAGAGAGAAAAGAAGAGGAATGAGGTGAGAGGAGAAGGAAAAAAAAAAGAGCAGGATAAAAAATGAGGAAGGTGGAGAGAGCAGCCAGTATTTTAATCACACGTTCTCTCAGATCACTGAGCAGCCGCGGACCGACTCTCCCCTCCTTCCTTCTCCACTTCTATCCCTCGACACATCCCTCCTCTCAGTGCCTGCTCACAGTACAAATATCACTCCCCCAACTAAAATATAGATACACAGATAAAGAGGAACAGACTCACACAGGAAGACAAAGCTGTGGGCACAGGCAGACATAACTACGACTAACTTTCCTACAGAATCCGGTTTATCTGGATTTAGGTGGACATCCATCTTTAAAACACACAAAATACATCAGAGCGAATAGTGTATAAATAATATATTAAATCTATCGCTGGTATCGATTGTATATATCTTTGCTTCACTGGATTCATTCGTCTGTTTAGCTTCGTACACAACTGATGCATTTCTTCATATTACTCCATAATGTCGTGGTTCTGGCCTTACCTGCACATTTGGTCCTGGTGATGAGCGGTGGTCCAGATTTGCCCGTCCCTCCCTCTCCTGGTCTGGTCAGTAACACTCTGATCTCGTACTCTGTGTCCGGGTCAAGGTGCCACAACTTGTAGTTGGGAGAGTTGACGGCGTGAGTCTCGATCCAGCTGCCTGATGTCATACGGTACTCAACCTGAATAGAAGAAAGAGAAATCAAATATTTCTTGTTATGGCTGCTAAGTATTAATTAAAACTTGAGTGTACATGAAGATTTACTTGCTTTTTCAGGATCAGTATGGAATATCCACCTTTTGGCTTTCTTGTGGACAGTTAAATGAAAAGAGTCGTACTCTTCTTCTTTGCTTAGGCTGCATTAACACGTTACGTATTTGTTTTAAAACGACTCGTAGCTGCATGTCAGAAATCATTTCCATCTTTGGTGAAAGGTAACAGGACAAGATTTCTCTTCTTGGACTGATGAACCGTTTTCCTTTCACCGCTGTACATGTAGATGTACCCTTACATTAGCATGAACCTTAACCTGGCTGTTAAAGTTTAAAAGTTTGCCTCTCAACACATATAATTTCTACTGCCTCTACTCTTCATCTCCCAACAAGAAAGCCAAAAGGTTTGTTTCCTTAAATGTGTCAAGAAAAAGCAATTTTATTTCCCTGCTCTCCGCAAAACATTCGACTCAGTGAGAGAATAAAATGTTGGTAAAGTCACATCCTTGAGGATTTATATTGTATTTTCTTTACAGGGCTACACTGGGTGTTGTTATATACAGGTTATTGTTTAAAACCTCCCATTATCCCATAGAGGACATACCTCTTTCAGTATAATAGGCCCGTCTCCAAATATGGAGTTAGCGTTGAGTTGAATCAGTAGGTACGTCGGGCCGACGCCCAGCAGCTGGGGTGGGGCGATGGGGTGCGGGGGCTCTGAGGAGAGAAAACAATGAACAGGATCATAAAAGATGGTTTTAGAGGGGGATGAATGAAAGACACTGAAACAAGGTCAAAATAAAACAGAAGAGGGCTGAGGCAGCCTCCTGTGACACGAAGCCTCGTCAGCCTCACCGAGGACGTGGGAAACCTCGGAACTCAAAACAAACGTCTGAAACAAACCAACAACGAATGATGGCATTTAGACAAAATGATTGATTTAGATTTTTTGGTGCTTGAGAGGAAGAGTCGGCACCGCTGAGGCGCTGTGATGAGTTTAAGAATTAATGGTATGAAAGAAAAAGAAGAAGAGTGATTAGAGGTTCGGGAGTGATGGATTCTAAAACTGTTGCCGTTGAAACCATAATTAATGACCATGACCATGAGATGCTCGCTCCTGCTCGTCCTCTGGTGAGTCGTCTAATAAATCCTCTCATAGGTTTTCATCATTTATTGTTATTACACACAGGATCCTGATAATGGAAGTCGGTCGTTGCACAAGTGGAGGATGACAAAAGCTGAGTTAACCTCTTGCCCCCCCCTCATGCACAAACCTAAAATTGGCTCTTCACAGTGTTTTTTTGGGGAGGGGGGGGGGTTTCTTATCATCCTTTACCTGCTGCAACCTTATCGTGTATCTCGTGGCATTCAATTCAGACTCTTGTGTTGAAAGAGACGTGAAAATGTCACCGTGGTCCGACCCAGCCAGACTGCCGTCGTGACTTTTATGTTAAAGTGACTGGTGTGCTTATTCAGACATGAGATTAACATTGCACTTCAGTAATGAGGTGCCTGTCTGAGAGGGGCTCTGAAGAGTAATTGCTCGCTAACTGCAATATAAATACGTCTAGATTCCTTCTGCACACTTCAGCTTCTGACCGCGGCTGCTCGTGGTGTCATTCACGTACTCGGCATCTTCCAATGGAAAACCAATTTCACCAGTGTCGTTCTCTCACCCGTGAAGATTACTTCAAACAGTGCGGTACGATCACGTTGACCTGCTCGGATGAGATTGTATGTATGTATTTGGACTGTGGGTGGGTGGGGGGGGCTCCTGTAGAAAACCCACGCAGACAGAGATCTGAACCAGGAACCACCGTGCTGTGAGCGCTTTCCGCTTTACCACCATGCTGCCGTACCCAACCCTAACATGTGTTCTGAAAACTCTTTGAAAATACAGTGTGTGTATTTGTACGTGAGTGCAGATGTGATGGATGTGTGACGGTTCACGGCCAGATCAGAGTAAACTGTCACACGTCTGTGATTGACAGGTCCAACAAGTGCAACACACACACACACACATCCGAACAGTCACTTACACAATAAACACACATGCTGAGGTTTGTCTCACAGTAAATTATAAAGATTTTATCTTTCGGGCACATTTTCAAACACACTGTGTTGAAATGTGATTTTTGTTTTTTTTGCAATCCAGCATCTATCGTATCATATCAAATTGCGTGTTATCCAAATAATGTGTGTGTGTGTTACCATCCATTAATAGTTATATTTTGCACTGCTGTCGTCTCTTTTTCTTTGGATGTGAGTGTTTGTGTTTACTTTTTTGTGTGTGTGTGTGTGTGTGTGTGTGTGTGTGTGTGTGTGTGTGTGTGCGGCTGTCAGAGAGGTGCAGACACAGAAGTGTTTTTATAGCAAAAGATGAAACACTAGGTTGACAGCACATGCAACACAACGCAATAACACACGTACACACACACACACAGAGTCAGATTCTGATAATGAATGTTGAAGTGACTTCAGAAAACAACGCAGCAACACTGTGTCAGCTCCCAACGCCATCAAATAAACAAAGTAAACAACTTGATGATTAATAAACAAATAAAGAAATAAAATTCACAAAGATTTATTCAAGCCAACAAAACAGCAAGTTCGCACGTTCGCAGCATGTGTGTTAACCTGAATCCGTGTTTGTGTTCTACTTTAAAAAATCTATTGAATATCTAAAAGATGAATAATAGACATAAGAATGAAATAGTAAAGAATTTAAGTGGGTCATTATGTGACTCCAGAGATTGAGCTGGAACGAGTTCATGCTTTTGATTTTTTCTTTTTTATTTCTCATCACTTGTCATTTGAACGATTGACCTAAAAAAAAACATAACAAATCATCAATGGTGTTGTTTTTGAGATGGGTTTGTTGTCGGCATCTCTTTTATTATTAATCACACGTGTGAACCTTCTTATCATTTGTCACTTTTTAGGTCAAATCTAAATGATAATAACAAAACAAATCAACATCGGGAAACCGTCAAAAATGTGCATATTGCTTCTGACCCTCTGCCTTGATTCATTTGTTTTCACTTTCTTCAGGGATATTAACATTAAAAACAAACTCCTGAGGCCTTGGTAGATTATTTAAGATGTTAAGATTTATGATGATGTGAATAAACAAGAAAAAAGGAAGAACTGCGACAAATATATTTCATCGGTGCCCACGAGGCATGTTCTCCTTTGTTGTCCATCGTCAGCAACCTTGTCAATAAAGTTTAGCTTTCAAAGAGTGTTGCTGACATCACTGTGGTTCTCACTGGAGGACATCTGACCTCCAGGTCGATGTGTATGAGTAAGTGTGTGTGTTTCAGTCGAATCAACAGCCACCAGTGGTCGCAGGTTTCCTGTAGTTCCGTAACGCCTCAAGCTCCACCTGTCACTGTTACTTAGAGTGAGAGAGAGTGTGTGTGTGTGTGTGTGTGTGTGTGTGTGTGTGTGTGTGTGTGTGTGTGTGTGTGTGTGTGTGTGTGTGTGNTGTGTGTGTGTGTGTGTGTGTGTGTGTGATAGTTTAAAAGGAAGAAAATGACACTTTAGAAGTCGACCATTACAGGTTTCAGACAGTTGTGTAAATTCAAGTCAGTTGCGTGTCCGCTTAGGTTAATGTGTGTGTTTGTGTGCATGCATGTGTGTGACAGTAATACTGCCGAGCTTTTTAGGCCATGAGTTGCGTCTAATGCAAACTGGCATGGTGATGTATTGAGTATCGGTGTGTGCACGTGTGTGCGAGATACGAGTTGGCGTGATGATGCGCTGTGTCACCGTAAGAACCAGAGGGCACGGCTTTATTAGAGCTCGGCTCTGAACAGATCACCAATGACACACACGCGCACGCACGCACGCACGCACGCACACGCACGCACACGCACGCACATGCACGCACACACACAGACCCTGACATACCCATAAACACATGCATATACAGACACACACATTCAAATGCGGTTTACATAGTCTTACACATATTCACATACACACACATACACACACATACAGTAGACACACATACAAATACACATTTACATACACACAAATAGAAACACATACATTTACATAAACACACAAAGATTAAATAATAATTAACTGAATGACATTTGAATAACAAATGATTGTTCATAACAATAACTGAGACGTTGCTTTGTTGGTCAGACAAAACAATTTGAAGATAAAATAACTGATAAATGTATTTTTGATGATCTGGGACTCCCGTGTCATCTCGCTCTTGCTCCCATGATGCACCTCTGTCTTGAAAAATGTGCTTCTCCTCTGTGATGTTGACAGCTCCAGGACACAGAGGGAGAAGCTATTCGCACATCTCTGTCATCTACATGTTATAAATATCAATAGACCCGGGCCTGTGTGTACCTGCAACAAGGCAATCTCACGTCACCCAGCGAACCACTTTCCAGTCTTTAAAGATGAAACCCTGGTTACCGTCCTCCTGCCAAACATTTCTAACGTGCAAAAGTCATATTCTGGCACCTCCCTATGATTCCTCCTCTTTTCTTGTTCTCCAGAATCCTACCAGATACACGATTCCTCCAGTAACATCCCATCCCTGATCGTTCCCCCTCGCATTATAGCTAAATATTAAAATATTCAGAGTAGTAACATTAGCAATGCAGTTTAACGCTGTCCATTTTCGCGGTCGTCAATGTCCTGCAGGAAGCTGAAATCTCCGACTCGCACACTTTTCAAGAAGTGAAATAAACATATTCCCTGTTTCTTTGATTTCTCTCTGGCTCTCATCTCCCATCTGATATTGCTAATAAATAAACATGAGGCTCCTCTCCTTCCGCATTTATACATGCAGTACTCGTTCTCTCTTTTATTGTGATATCTTTCTAACAACCAGACTCTGGATCAATATTCATAATCACCAATATCCCTCAGAGCTCCAAAAGCATCTTTTCACAGATTGCGAAAGTGGCTTCTTTTCAAGCCGACGCCTGGCCATGAAACGCAGCACTGCTCGCTCTGTGCGTCTTATTGAACCTGAATCTATTTTCATATATGTAGATTGGTCCTATTCATGTTTAGACACATATCTCCTGCTGTGCAGATTCCTCATCTCTATCATCTTTGCCTTCTCAATTTCAAAAAAGAGCCTCACAATAAATAAACATTAGCCACTTATGTATTCTTACTAAATCAGCAAGGTCCTGCAGAGAAGAGTGTGTATCTCTAAAACTCCTCCAAATTTCACGACCAAAGAAAACCTTTTTATTGCCGGTGTGGATTTTAACACTGAATGCGTTGGTGTCCTGGTCGGACCTCGACCGGACCGGAGCGTGCGAGCCCCATAATCTGAGCCACACCGGCTAATATTCATATTCATGGTGCTCGCTTCTGCTTTGATTTCTCATTTCATTCTCCTCTGCCATCTCTTATGCAGAATAATAAACACGTCTCCGCTCGGATGTTTACATATTCAGACATATTCCTGATTCTGATATGGATATTCTCGGGATAATGAGCTGACTATTTACATTTAACTTTTCCACACCATCTCCACTCCCCCCCCCCCC